ATCCACGGTTTCCCACTGTAATTCCTTTTGTTTTTATACTGCTTACGAGGACAGTGCCTGTCATATACTTTCTTGAATATATTTAAAAATTGCTCATATGCTTTATCTAAGTCTTCCTCTCTGTAAACTGATTCCCAGTTTTGCCCCATAAAGTCCTCTTTTAGCCTCCTTACAGCATGTTCATTCGTCACCCTCCTATAGAAAAGATTTGTTTTTGGCCTCTCTTTTCTATACTGGCCCTCATAAACCACAAATACTGGTAGATGATCACTAATATCATTTATGAGTAATCCACTTGTCATTTTACTATCCAAAACATTGGTGAACATATTATCGATTAATGTTGCATGCCGAGTTGTTACTCTACTTGGTTTTGTAATTTTTGGGTATAAACTGCATCTATATATTGTGTTAATAAACTCCTCAGTTCCTGTGTGCTTGTTAGGATTTAACAAATCTATATTGAAGTCACCACATATGAACATTAATTTATGACTTATTGTCAAGTAATTTTCTTCCATCCAGTCATTAAATTTTTCTATGCTGGCTCCAGGTGCTCTATAAATACAGCTTATTACAACATTTTTCTTTTTTTCCACGAGTATTTCTACAGTCACACACACTCCAGCAAATTATCCACCACCCTTGACATTTTCTCCACTCTCTTATAACAAAAGTTTTTATCTATGTACAAGGCCACACCACCTCCCATCTTATTCTCTCTGTGTATACCAAGTCATAGCCATCAAGGTCAAAATCCATTCCCCTTACATTATTCATCCAAGTTTCAGAAATAGCAATTATATTAAAGGAATGTGTAAGACTACTAAGATAATGTTTTATACTCTGAAAGTTTGCGTACAAACTTCTGCTAGTGAATTAACGATAATTTGTTTTTATTCTTAACATTGCTGTTAAACTGCTCATTCGTGTAGTTATTTTCAGAGTTCTTAAAAAAGTTTTTTTCAGGGTCAAAATCATTGTCCGATTCATGATAATGTTGTTCAGTGTCTCCAATTGTGTTCAGTTCCAGATCCAATCCCTCAAAAACTATTAACCTCTGTAGCAAATCACTTGCCTCATTCCGTACGTGGGTCATACTTGTTGTTGGTTCCTAATTGTTGGTTCCAACGCTCATCTGCCCTCGCAGATATCAATATACCTGCGTGTTGCTTCATTCAGCTGAGGGTCCAGCGACCCCTTCATACTCTCCTTGTCTCGGCATACTGGTCCTC